TTTTTTTTTTTTTTTTTTTTTTTTTTTTTTTGTCTTTTTGTAAGCTGTCATCGTTGAACAACCATCTGAGAAGGTAAATAGTGCCGATGATGCAACTGATTCATCGTTGAAGTTCTGACTTCAAAAAAATCTATCGTTGTAGCTAACATTTGTAAACATGATAGAATCTGTTGAATGGGTGCAAAAAGAGATGCGATTTATTTACTTATCCAAAGAAACAAGGGATAAAAATATAAAATTTTCTGTAGCAAATAGCAAGTTAAAATGAAGAAATAGTCAACGGAATTCTTTTGCCACACAAATGGATGCTAAACGATATTATTCTTTACTGTTGAGAAAAGAAGGGCTGTAAAGAAGAGGAGAAATGAAGATTTGTTGAATTAGTTAGTTTTCTGTAATTTGTTGAAGTTATTGTTGACTATAGGTTTCTTTTTTTTTGCTACTGCAACTGCTGCTGCTGCTATATATTTGTTGATCTTAGGAATGAAAGAAAGTAAAAATTTTTTAAATTTTGCTGTCTTAGGGTTGTATTAAATTGTGAAGGAAGTAATTTCAAGTGCTTGTTATGCTAAATTGTTTGTTTTATTTATTTAAATTTTATGCTCAAAAGAAGACAGTTCTGTTTCTTTAAATCATAAAAATATCCCACCCTTTCCTCCCTCCACTTTAACCCGCCCCCTACCCTCCTCTTCTTTATGACAACAGATTACACAAAATCTTTTGATACTTTCTCTTCTTTTTTTTTCTTACCTTTAGTTTTTGTTTTTGTTTCACTCATTGCTATACATCTGAGAGCGGATGGCAAAAAAAATTTTCACTTCGTCAACCTGCTGTAGTTGAAATGACGACAAAGTAGTGCAATGATGATACGAAACAATATTTTCACACTGAGTAAGAGAACAGACAACTAACTGACTACTGGTTTCGGACACATGTATGTTTTTCAACAGAAACAACTCAACACCCGTTTCACCTCTCCGCCATCATCAACAGTTAATTGTTGTCTTCTAAGCGAAAGAATTTAAGCGAGGTAGCTAAAGGAAAAGAATGGAGAAGAAAAAAAAGACACTAAAATATTCTCCTTTAGAAGGTATTGCAAAAGTTTTCAACAATTTACGGAGGAATTTATCGAGATTCTAAATTAGTAACTTTGAAGATCGTTCGTTGTCTTAACCGTCATTTCATCGATGAGACATCAGATCAAATTTTTGTTATACTGGGGAAAAAAAACGTAATATCTTTGTTAAATGTTTCTTTTGGCAGCTAAAAACAATTGAAAGAGAGTTATTTTTGTTTGTATTTGATTATTAAAGACAACTTTTTTTTTGCTATTTTTGTTGTTACTGTTATTTGAAAAATTTCTGTTAATTAAGTGTTTATTTTTTTCTTTCTCTTTTTTTTTTATTTTTGAACAGTTAACTGAACAGTTCCAAACAATTTTCTACCTCAAAAAGTAAATGCGACATGAGGCGGGAAAAAAACAAGAAAAGAAAGCCATAAAAAATATGAACTATGCTTTTTTGGAGTTTTATTTTCTCATCTTTATCCATCTTTACATCAGCAGTATTGTCATCCAACATCATCGTCGTCATCATCACTATCACCAGCATCATCAACACAGACATCACCATTCATCATTTTTGGTTTTGTTTCAGCAAATCTGTGTGGAGCAGAAAAGTCACGAACCCCATATTTGACCAAAGGATCGTTAGCGGTGATTTGTACCGCAGCAAAATGCCCTGGCAACTCAAAGTGCCTGTTTTCAAAAATAGCTAAAGATTACATATGCTGTGTCACCAAACAATCGAAGCAAAAGAACACAAAACAGATGAGTACCGCAGCGACAGCAACGGCATCTGAATCAACCATGATGATGTCAACATCAATTACAGCTCGATGTCCGGGCGGTCATACACCACTAATGTTTCCAGCAACCAAGCAACCACTGCAATGCAAAGAACCAAAATTACAGTGCCCAAAGAACTATACATGTATCAATCGTGTATGTTGTCCAGAGAGTTTAAGATATCATAAAAAAGATGCTGCATTAAAATGTCCACGACATTTGGTAAAAGTTTTCTTCACTAGAAATGGACGTCGATTTAGTCGATGTGGTAAGTATAAAATAAAATTTAGTGCAATCAAAATTACGCACAAAATTCAACGGTTTACTCAGGTGCCTAATATACTATAATTCATAGTATTAATTTTATAATGATGGAGAAGAATAAATGATGGAGGCTAAAAGCAATTTTTATAGAACGATCTTGTCCAAGAGACCAGAAATCAGTTAAAGGTATATGTCGTCCAGTGATAAATTTATCAACACGACAGTTTGATGATCCGAATATATCGTCAACTTTTCAAACGGTGAAGAAGCGAGCGACAACAACAGCAACAACAACCAGAGATGAAACTGTTGGTACAGTACGACAGCTGAATCAAGTTTCAGATACCAAAATTAGCAGCTCATCGACTTCAACAGAATGACACAAATTAAAAATTGATTCTCTGAATTATAAACGTGTAT